CTTTTTGCTTTTTGTTTGTTTTGTTCTAGCAAAAAATAAACGTTTGTTCTTAGAAGGAAGTAAGTTAAATCTTCACAGGTTATTGGAGGGCCAGCACAGCTTGATTTAACTTTGCCTTATTGCACTGCACTGCACTGCTGTGGCTGTACATGAGTACAACAGCAGGGTAGTTGTTCTGAATTTCCAGAACTCTGATTTCTTTACTTTTATATGACTTTTTGAAGAATGTTTCTTCAACGTAAGAATGTCTCTTCCCCTCTTTCACAAAGAGCTGTAAAACCATAGCTCTATGTGATAGCATGCAGTTTTCAGGAAGCTAACCTCTTCCTAAGGCTGGCTTTTCTGTCATGAAGTATTTGCCATGAGGGCATTTGGCTTGTGTGATTAAAAGCCCATGACCAGTCTTGAAATGACTAGCACTGCTGTGTATGGAACTCTGACTTCTGTTTTGATCTCTAGGAAAGAGACAAAGTGATGCCTCTAATTATCCAGGGTTTCAAAGATGCAGCAGAAGAGGCAGGAACATCTGTTACTGGTGGCCAAACAGTGTTAAATCCCTGGATTGTTTTAGGAGGAGTGGCCACAACAGTCTGTCAGCCTAATGAATTTATAATGTAAGTTAAATCGCTAAACAATCAAAGGCACTAGTCCGAAGGGATACAGTAAAAATCCTTTAAATACCATGTTATGATCTTGTGATCTGTCTCCTGATGAATAAAGCAGTACCTTCTCCTGCTTGCATTTGTCCTTAGCACTCAACAGATGACACATCTCTCTGGTACGTATTTGGTTTTTTAGACAGGGTGTTCTTTTGCTTCTTCCCACCCCCCAGTATCTTTTGATCCAATTCTCCTTTTGACAGGAGTTAAGCTTCTAACCTTTAAAGGTATTGAAGACTGTTTTGGGACACAAATTTCTTTCATATTTATACCTACTTTTTAATTCATCTCCCAATTATTGTATTAATGGCTGTGGAGGACTACAGAATTGCTGTGTCTACAGCATTCTCTCCATTTAACAGTAGCTAATTTTGAATGTCTCACAGAGGCATATTACACTATACAAATGAACTTGTTCATCATCCTAGTGATGCTTATCTTATGCCCTGAGTAACGAAGTTTGATATTTTTTTTTCCCCCCTTTCCTATCTTACATCTCTAGTAAATTGAAAGAAAAGATGTAATTTTGTGTGAGTCTGCAAGCATTGTTGTATTCCAGGAAAGAAGGATTAGCGCTTTTAAATAAGTTTTCAGCTTTTTGCTCAGTAACATCCCATGGCAATGAATCTCAAAGAGTAATTCTGCAATTAGCAGTATTTTAACTGTGCACCAAGATACATGGGTCTGTGAAAACATAATTATCAGCACTTATTCCTAATAATGTGTGTGAATCTCACTGTGTAATTAATATACAAATTCTTTGTTTTCAGGCCAGACAATGCAGTGCCAGGAGATGTGCTTGTATTAACTAAACCCTTGGGAACACAAGTGGCTGTAGCTGTCCACCAGTGGCTAGATATTGTGAGTACACTGCAAAAAAAGAAATGGGGAAGAGGGGTGTGAGTTGACGATGGCCTTCCTCATTCCCTCAAAACGTCGAAGTTCAGCAGTGTAATAAGTACACTGAGGGCTCAGTTGAGAATGATCTACCACCTCTCTCTCCTCCTCGGTGTGTCAGCCTTACCTGCTTACGTGCAAAACTCTCTTGGAATCCAGACAGTTCACTATTTTGTGCTTAGCGAGCCCGTCTTAATTGCATCTAATTCTTAGTTAGTTCTCAGGCATTGCTGTAATGAACAAAATTGTTTACTAACAGAACAACAGACAAGCACCCTGGGTAAAATTATGCCCTACTCCACCTGCCAAAGTAATTGGCAAAAGCTTATTGGTGGCAATTAGGCAAGATTGCTGTCTGTGTTCATGGGCTTTCTGCTTGTATACATGGAAGCATATCTACGTCTCACATGTATTACTCTGTGCATTCAGTAAGAATATTTCTAGCAGCATTATGTATGTAGACGTACCTCCATCTGTTACTTCAGGCAAAAATGTAACTACTGAAGTGAAAAGTGACTGCAAAATTGGCATCTGCTTATGTTGTCTGGCTCCCGGTACGTGTCTTCAGAATTACAACTGCTCAGTTTACACTCTAAAAAGATGCATCTTTTCTACTTTTTGGGACTACTGAGCCAAAAGACTGGCAGAGGAGTGAGCTGGAATCTACTTTGTCTTGGCTGTTGGCCACTACATTGTCAGATGAATTCTAATTACAAAGCAAGAGGGAGAGAACCAGCTTAAACCTTCATTGGAGTCTGAAGTGTGAGCAACAAGAAAAAAATATTTTTCTCCTTATTCATAGAGCCTAGCCATTTTGACCTCTGCAGAATCCTGTATTTTCCAATCAGATATAAGGATCAGGGCCTCAGATAATCTTGGTATGAAAATGAAGTGAAACAACAAGACGCTAATTTTATAGTATGTTTTCTGGCCATAATCTTACTTAACATATCTATTATTGCACTGACAAACAGATCTGCAATTTAAGGATATTCTGAGTTTCCACATATTTCAAGTACTTCCAATTTCCTTGACTGTCAACCAGAAACACTTTCTGATCTGAAAAATGAGGACGGCGAGGAAATCAATCCTCCTGTTACACGTAAACAGAATATATCTTGCTCGTGGTAGGAAAATTTTCAAGTAGCTGTACTGCCTTTTCTTTAGCTTTGTTTTGTGAAAGAGTTAGTAAAGTGAAACGAGAATTACCCATCACAAATCCACCCATAAATCGAATTTTGGTAGAGAATTTGACTTTGTATTGAAAAACATGTGGGAGAAGGTACATAGGACAGCAAGTTGATGCATAGGCAAGAAAGGAAAACTGGAGTGGAGAGAGATGTGGCTGCAAACCAAATTTTTTTTAAAAAAAAAACAAACCCAACGTAAAAGCTGAGATATTTAAACAGAGATGTAGCAAATGAGTTCCTGGTGACGAGTGAAAGAAAGATCCAAATGGAGGCAGAATTTGTCCTCCTTGCCTGGTTGCTGCCAGCATTGTTGCAGCCAAGCCCCAGCTGTGTTGCTGGCAGCAGCTGTTGTAAGGGTGCAAAGGCAGAGGCTGCAACGAGCCTGCAGGGAACTGGGCCCCACCGAGGCGCAGGGGACTGGGGCAGGGATGTGCTAGGGGTGGCAGGGCTCTTTGCTGTGACTGGGTGCAAGGCTGGGGATGTAGACCGATTGTTAAGCTGGTCTGCAGCTGGGAACTGGTGCCCCTTTGCCTTTTCCTCTTTCAGCTGAAAGGAAAGGGCTTCCTGTGATGTGCCCCATCAGAAAGGGTTGTCTAGCCTTTGCTGTTGTCTGCAAACCCTTCCCATTTGGAAATCCAAGCTTGCTTTTAAAAGTTATTTGGCCATTTTTGTGAACTTTTCTGCCTTTGTTTCCTGTTTACTAACCCCAGTATCTGATTGCTACAGTGGAGAAGAATTTGCATCTAATTTGTATCCTGCCTGTGTTTGTGGTTCTTCTAGCCTCAGCCTTGAGTTCTGCTTCCACCTCATTTGTGATTTCCATTCCTGTCATCTGACAGGTTTCCATCCCGTGATCGGCCTCAGAACTGTGTTTTTGGAAACTAAGGCAGAATGACTGCTCAGGTTTTTCGGTCATACCTGGAGTAAGAATAATCACTACTCTGTCATCTCTGTAATAGCCTCATTTTATTTTTTTAACTTGGTCTCTCATTTATGCACATAAAAATGCTCTTCTTGCTTAATTGGTCAGACCCAGTTCACCTAATTTCAGAAGCTCTGATCTTACTGCTATGCTTCCGTGCTCTTTAACAAATGATTTGTTTTGGCCGACTAGTCTCTTTTCCTCTCTTACCCTTTCTGGATTCTCTCTGATACCCCCGAAGTCAGCGCTCATTTGTTAAGGATAAGAGCCTCTTTGACAAGATCGTTTCCCCCGTGCAGCCTCATATACCAATTCTTAGTAGTTTTTGCGCCTTTGGTTTGGTAAGAAGTTTGTTCTATGCTTTGCGGCTTCAAAAATTCTATTTTTGTTTGCTTTCAGTTCTCTATAGTTTTATTTCCATTGGGAAAAAAAAAGTGAGTTAAACCAGTTTGTAGTGTTGCTTTTAACAGCTAAATAGTTGCATTGTTTCATTCTGGATCTGGAATTACTTCAGCTTTGAATGAAACAATTGCTCTTTATAAAGGTACCATTTCCTAAATTGTTCTGAGACCATTTTGGGATGAAAAGCATTGCTGAGCACCTGATGGAGGCATGAGTCCATACAAGATACTGCAGAATGAGTGGAAGGAGGTGTTGATACTAAACTGTAAAGGAAGCTTAGGAAACTGCCTTAATCCTAACTCTCTAGAGTGATTACATCCTGCCTTAGCATACATTTCTCAGACCTAGATTTGTGCATATCAGTGGCCTTTCTTGATCGAAATGTCCAGAGGTGAAATCAAGAATTTTCTCTTAAAAAACCAAGAAGCTAGAGATTATAAATCTCAACATCTAGCAGCAAAATTCTTTTCCTTTGGCAGTGGAATTCAAGCCAGAGAAATTCCTTGAAGGAATTCTTTGCCCTAGGGTAGGTTGTTCCACTCCACTCTACTCTGCTGCAGAACAAAAGATTTGCGGTGCTTAATGCCTACTAGATCTTTAAATGAACTTCTCTTAGGTACAGCAGAGTAAGGCCCACACCTCTGACTGTTGAACCTTTTACCTTTCTTTAACAAAAAAAAAAGTACAATTACATTTTGGATAAAGGACTTTTTTTAAGTGGTATTGATGTGCTTTAAAACATACAGCTGAAAATCTAAAAGAATCATCTTTATCTCATCCATTAGCCAGAAAAGTGGAATAAAATCAAGCTAGTGGTAACGCAAGAAGATGTAGAACTAGCATACCAGGAGGCAATGATGAATATGGCGCGACTGAACAGAACAGGTAAGAAGACCTCTGTGTGTTGGGGAGGTGAAGGTTGTGGGTTTTTCCAATTCCTTACTTAATTTCATTTCAGTATCGCAGCGAAATGTGACACAGCCACTTTATCCATTCCTTCTGCTCCATATTTCTGCTGTTAAGTGTTTGTGAAGCAAGCAAACTAAAGTCAAACGCCCTCTCTTAATTATACAGCAAAACCACAAATGCTGCTGGAGATGATTATGAATCATGTGAGTGCTGTGAGTAACATCCCAGTGAGTTAGAGGATGTTTGAAGGGAAATATATTGGATTTGTTCCTTATATTTTGTGCCTAGAGAATTTCTGAGGGCCTGACTGTAATAAGGTTACAAAAACAGAAATAGAGTAAAAGCCGAAAAGCTCTTCATTTTTGTACACTTCAATTATAAATTTTTGTGTTTTTTTTTAATTTTGACATGTTATGTGCTTCCCAAAGTGTGGAATATGTAGCACATATTTTCTTTTCTGGTTTTGTGTTCATTTTTTTTTCTGCACCCCCCTGTTTTTGTGGGTGTTGGATTGTTGTGGGTTTTTTTTTTTTTTCTTTTAATTTTGGTAGAGGGAAGGTTCTGCTTTTACCCTAGAAGTTTTAATCCAGTGTTTCCCTTCTTTGTCCAAAGAATCTTTGGAGGAGCAGAGAATTGAATTAGGTGTTTCCTTACTTCTCAGTTGAAGGAACACAGGGATAGTTAAATATCTCTTGTCTTCCATTTATTCAGTTTTCATTTAGTATTTGGTATGTCATCCCACTGGTTTTTCATGTTTTCAAAGTCTCCCAGGAAAAAACAAACGACCAGAATTGTCTTGTGGAAAAGAACTCGGGGGTCCTGCTCTGTATTGAGAAGCACCAAAGAAGGGCAGAGCATTCTTGGTTTTGTTTTTCTCCACTCACTCTTGTCAGGCACCTTTAACAGCACTTAAATATTCTTAGCGGGAGCTATTGTCCTGCATGCAGAGGTGCCCTTCTCCCACTCAGGGCTCTGTAGTTGCAAAAGCCCAAGAATTTCCTTGGGTGGAGATGGCTGAGGCCCTTCCCCCACAATCTGCAGGCTTTGTTCTTAAGCTCTCAAAATTTAAATGTCCAGAACTTAGGTTCTGGGAAAGAGATGTGAGAAAAATGGCCCAGGATGAGTCTGGTCCTTGCCCTTAATGGAGCAACGCTGAGCTCAGAACCTCTCTGGCCCTCAGCTTTGGGAAGTCTGAATCTGGAGGAAACCCCTTCTTAGACTGCTAATAGCATGCTCATAAATGTAACTTCAGTGCTGGATTTTCAGCATGATTTAATACCTTAAATAGAAGTTGAAATTTTTAAGGGTTACATGCAACATTGGTGAATTTCAGTTCCTTCAAGCATTTTTTTTTAAATTATTAATTTAAACAGTAACTCAACGTGGTTCAAATTAAAGATACGCAGCTTCATTCAAACACACAATATTGTTGAAGCATTGATTTTCCTGCTATTTTTTTTTCTGATTTTTTTTGTTTGTTTGTTTTTTCCTTCTCCCTCTCTTGTAGCTGCTGGACTCATGCACACTTTCAATGCACATGCAGCTACAGACATCACAGGATTTGGAATCCTGGGGCACGCACAAAATCTTGCCAAGCAGCAGCGAAATGAGGTGTCCTTTGTTATTCATAACCTTCCTGTTCTTGCTAAGATGGCTGCTGTCAGTAAGGCTTGTGGCAATATGTTTGGCCTCATGCACGGGACTTGTCCGGAGACTTCAGGTAGGTGTTGGTTGTACCCCCCTCTTCCTTCCCTACACCGCCACGTTAGAATTTAATAATATTTCGAATGTAAAAATCGTGTGCTTTACATTCAAAATCACAGTTTGTTTGGCATACAGCCAAGCTAATATGCATTAGCCACACAACTGTTCACAATTAACTTCTTCAGCCTGACTTCCAAACCACCATCCTATTTTGAATGCCTTCTACTTCCTTACGAAACACGATTACAGAAACCCCTTGCTGTATTTAGAGCATTTTGCAGCTAAAAGTTAGTGATGATTCTGAATTCTTTTGAAACCTGTTTTTCTCTTAGCTGTTAACTCCAGAGCAGTGAATATCTGAAAATCCCAGCAAAGCTGACAGTTTTCTCAAAGCTAAAGCCACCTGCAGTAGGTTTGCCAGTCAAATGGGTGGTGGTTTGTTTCTCATTACATGTGTGAAGTTTAGTGCTGAAGGGGCCAGTCTTGCTGACTGAGACCTTCTCTGTCCACAGAGTACAGACATCTAAGAATATAGGTTTTTCTCCCTTACATATATGAAATCTGACTTTAAGGGACTGTGACTAGCAGCGGAAAAAAAAAAAATTGGTGTCTGACCTATTCATTACTTGAGTTCTCTGTTTAATAAAGCTGCCACTTGCAGTGACAATGAATACAGCAGATGTGTACTGAGAATCTGGCTGTGGACACCCAAGTTCATTTCAGATAAGCATTTAAACAGTCATTGGGTGATAAGAACTTCTGAGGTTTAAAAGTTGCCTTGTTATTAAATGTAGGCCGCTTTGCTGACTAGCATGATTGCCGTCTTCTGCTGGAAGTCTCTATACTTCATTTTCCACTTGTCCTGTTCCATCTTGGTTTTCTTTTTAACCTGACTTTTCTTTCTCTTTGGGATATGGAGAATATACAGCAACAAATCTGTCTTTTCTCGTATCTCATTTCTCCACCTACTTCCTGCTCTCCAAAAGTATTATCCAAGTTTTCTGCAGTTCACTACAGAGGGGGCCCCTTGAAGCAAAACAGTCTGAAGATCTGGAAAGAAGCATCACAGCGAGAGCCATAAACTTTTGCCCTGGTGAATACACAGCTTACCATGATGTGTTGAATTGTTCCTTAGCCATCTGTGTTTAAACAGACGCTCTGTCCTACAGAGACCGTATGGCTCAGATGATGTGTAATAGGATATGGGACGTGAACCCTTTCAAGAGTTCAAATCCAGCATCAGTCAGCAGAGACCAGAAATATCTGGTGGCAGCTTGGCAAGCTCTGTCAGTAAGATTGGTAGCACCAGACAGATTCTTACTACCCAGGAGTCCACGTAACCAGAGTGCTAGTAGTGTTTGTTGTCAGTTGCAAAGAATCCAAAAAATAGCGTGGATGCAAAGCTGGAACTGCAAGATCCTCTTTCAGGTGAATGGCTGTGGCAGAGGTTTGTATAGCAGTTGGCATGGGAATGGTTTAGCTGCAAACCCAGTGCTTGAGTCTTCAGAGCTGTCCATCCTGCACCCTGGGGATATCCAGTTCTGCCTTTCCACTGAAGGAATGTGAAACGGTGCGGATGTACACACTGCTGTGAGAGTGCTTGGAAGCGGAAAACGGTCAACTTCACAATCTCTTTTGGGACTGAGAGCAAGAGATGTCTTCGAAACACTGAACAGCTTATGTTCCAACGTACATAGTGATGATGGAAAAACCAGCAAGCCGTATCTGGTTATTTGTGAACTTTGGGTGCCTCAAAACTTGTATATTTGACTTCCTCACGGCGTTGCATTTTTCACATTAGAAGTGGCTACAGGGATTTGTTACAGAGCAGTGTCTGCCAAATATTAGAAACATCCATAGCCACGTGGACACAATAGCTCCAGTCTGAAAGCTATATAACCACAGTCCCATGGGCTTTAGGCCTTACGGTGGATAGCCTGACACATTGCAGCAGTGTCTGTTAGCTTGGGCATGGTGTGCTGGGATGACTTGTCAGCATTTGGACCCGCGCTGCTCACGCACTTCATGTCCTGAGGTTGATGTGTACGAAGGAAAGCATCTGCTTTGCTATGCCTGTGTATCCAGTTGTGAGGATGCCTTCTGGGGGGCTGGTCAGGGTTCTTCATTCTGTAATATGCTCTTTCTCTGTTGTTTTAAACTTCCAGAAATGCTCTGTCTGTGGCTTCTTCGTTTGTGAACAGATGTTTTTCAGCAGAGTGGGCAGGCAATGAGAAATTTACTGGAAAACAATTTGAATGGATTTTAAGACTGTTGGGTTTTTTCCAGAGCGCGTTTTCTGGGCACCTGTTGACAAAAGTCAGTGTTTGAAAGATCTATTATGTCATCTGTTCCATCCTCCAGGCACTCTTACTCAATGATGCCTTTTCTTAAGATTGCTGTTTTACATGATTTTGCGCTCTCTTTGAGGTGACTCTTTGGTAATGATTAAAGTTGCAATCAAGCAGTTAGTTTCAAAACAATTCTGTTAGACTGGCTACTTGCAGAAGTAAGTTACAAAATTACTCCGTATGGGATATCCATGCATGTGTGTATTTTTGCCAGTCCTCTTCTAATAACTTTGGAAACTGTTGACTGGTGTCAGCCAACTTTTTTAGTGTAGTAGAGGTACCTTAACAAGTCAGTGTTTGTGCTAATTTTGTGGAGATAGGCAAATGGGTAGAAAAGAAGGGCTGAGTTCTACCTGACAAAAGGCAAGGCTAATGATCTCATCTTTTTGTTAGTCATTATGGGAGAAAGCCATTAGTAGGAGCAAGGACACTTGGTTTTGATTCATGAACTGTTTGTATCTCTGCTCTTAATTGCAAAGCTTTGTCTACTCTGCTTTTGAAGTTTTCTGTGTAGCTTCCCGGCTTGCAATACAACTGTAAAACCAACGGTGCTCAAAACCTCTTACCAAAAACCCTTTCATTTTTAAAAAGGTAAGCCAGAACAGACCAGGTATCTGCATCCTTTCAGCCCCCAGAAGCAGCATGCAGCAGGCTCTCAAACCGCCACAGCCGTTTGTTCGTTCACTCTACAGTTCACTTGCTTTGTCTTCAGCAGTGGCTGACGCAGACCTCAAAAACCTGGTACACGGTGAAACGCTGCTTGCCTCAGTGCAGAATGGCACTGCTGCTTCCTTTTCCACAGGCACACTGCAACAGCTTAAACCCCTGGTGGCTGTGACCTTGCATGGGTGAAGACTTACTGTAGTTGTCCATGGGACAAAAACCAGAGCAGCTGGGAACACCAGTAACATAGACAAGACAGGAACACAGTGGAAAACCTTAAGGACTTACCCAAAGAGTTAGAGACCAGTCAATCTAGCAGAGAAATAATTATAATCCCTGCATACAGAAATCCTACTACTGATGGAAAGTAGCCCGTAGTCTTTACTAAGGGTTATGGATTGAACTGTGGGATGCAGCCAGCAGGTGGGAAGTGATCTTTGATTGGAAACTGGGATTTTGTACGATTTTCTGATCTTGCTGAAGAACATTAGCAGGGTTTATGTACAAGCAATACAAAATTGCAGAAAGAGAGCGTGTGGGATAAGGTAATTGAGGGAAGATTATTTTTGTGCTTTTATTTTGTTTTTCACCATACTTCTCCCTTCTGGCTGGTTAGCATGTTCTCTGCACTATCACTTGTAAACCTCTTCCCTGACTCACTAGCACCATGACGTAAGTTTCTCTTCAATTAGATTTAGAGCCTTCCATGGAAATGGCATATAATTCCTTTGCAGTTGATTTGGCTGTTACATCTGGAGTAGCTTAAATGCTGTCTTTCAAGCTTCTGGGTTTTTTTGTTGTTTTTGATGGAAGTACTTGGCTGTTATGATCTGAAATGTCTGAAAGAGGTAGGCGTTTTTCTGGATGGCACACTTATTTGCTTCATATAGAACCTAAAAAAAAAACTTTCACACTTCCCCGTATCCTTATAAATAATCCTCATGTTCAGTAGCTGCTTCTTCCTCACTGCCTTAAATTTTAAGTGTCTTTAGTCACCACTGAGAGGACTGTTTGCTTGGAAAAGTAAACATACAAAAAGAAGGCCTATAGGGGGTGGAAG